AGAACAAGTACACCGCATAGTACGAGTAATTAAGGAAACGTTTGAGAAGAGGCAGTATTGTTCAGGCGTCTTTCTAGACATAACCCAAGCCTTTGACAAAGTTTGGCATGAAGGATTGTTCTGGAAACTTGAGAAACATTTACCATACAATATATCCTCAGTTATCAAAAACTACCTCTCAAATAGAAGATTTGTTATAAAACAAAATTCTTTTGTCTCCAATGCCTTCCCCATTATGGCAGGTGTACCCCAAGGTAGTGTTCTGGGCCCCTTGCTGTACCTGATTTTCACAGCAGACATGCCAACCAGTGACTGTACAACAACATCAACATTTGCGGATGACACTGCCATTCTCAGTCATAGTGACGACCCATTCACAGCCACAAAATCAGTTCAAGACCACCTCAACAAACTGCAAAAATGGCTCGATCTCTGGAGAATAAAAGTTAACGAATCGAAAAGTGTACACATAACCTTCACTCTACGACGAGATACCTGCCCTGCCCTTCGTATTAATGGAAAGTAATACCACAATGCAATGACACCAAATACTTAGGAATGCACCTCGACCGAAGGCTTACGTGGAAAAAGCATATAGAAACTAAAGTAACCCAAATTAAACTCAAACAACAAGAACTAAACTGGCTGATAAATAAAAATTCTAAACTTAATCTCACCTATAAAGTGCAACTTTACAACACAATGATGAAACCCATATGGACCTACGGAATTGAACTCTGGAGCTCTGCTTCTCCATCAAACATTGAAAAACTTCAAAGAACTCAATAAAAAATCCTCCGGCAAATAGTCGGTGCCCCCTGGTATATAAAAAACGCAGCGAAAATTTATTGTTAGTTCTAAGTTGATTTTTAGAAGATTCAATAAAAATCAAAATAAAATTTAAAAAAAAAAAAAAAAAAAGGTGCTCAGTTGTACAAGTCATTCTTCATAACAGTATTTAGTTTTCTTGGTTGCTGGGTCCTTTCTGAAATTCCTGAAAATGATATAAATTTCTACATCACTCTGAAACTATCAGTCAAAGAAGATTTTATGGAATGGAATGGAAACTTAAATACCATCATAAATCCCTCAAATACCATTTAAAACACACGATTTCCAACTTCGCCACCTTTAGGTTTCTGGTTTATTATCCTTAAACCACTTATTTATTAATTACTTGCATTATTATTATTTACTTATTATCAGCTTTATTATCTTTTTTGTAATCATTTGCGCGGTAATTCTTTTTAAATTTAATGCAGTGCAATCCTGTTTTTTGTCAAGAAATCAAAACATATTGGATACTTGCCTATAGATGGTAAAGTTGAAAATAATCGTACGTTTTGAGATGGTATTTGTGGAATTTCTGAGAGTGTATATGTTATTTTGTGTCGTGCTCATTTAAGTTTCCATTCTATATAAAATCTTCTTTGAAAGATATTCTCCGATATTTCTCTGATGGCAAATAGGTCCCACAATTTAGAACTACAATTAAAATTACTCATATCGCACGTGAGGGAAAAACACCGTCATCATATTTAGCTGCAAAACAAATAGAAAATGTTTATCAGGATCGTAAATTAGCTTGTGATGGTGACTGCATTTCAACTACTAAATGTAATACCCAAAGTAACTCTGGTTTCATTCATGGAAATATCCTCAAATTTGAACAAAACATTAATAAATTGTCAACCTTGCAATTACATGTAATTGACCACATATAATTTGGCTATAAACACATGTATTTGTGTTATAAAAAAAGCTGATAGCTTTAAAATACACTCTGCAGAACTTTTTTTATCACTCTCTAATTAACAGAGGATACGTAAGAATAAAGGATATGTTATCTATTAATACACACATAATGTTGACGAATCAACAAAAAATTAAGAACTAGGTCATGAGTTAATCGCTCACACCTGTTGCTTAATTTCTTGGTTGACGAATCAACAAAAAGTAAAAATTAGGTCATAAGTAAAGCATTCGCAACTATTGCTTATTAAGCAATTTGTGCGAATTAAGCAATAAGTTATTTTATTTATTGTATGTTTTGCAATTACGGTTGCATTTTATTTTGTATAAAAGAACAAATCAATTTAAATAAAATCAGTTGTTGAAAGTAAATCAACGTCTCACCAATCTTTTATTGTTTCCCCCCACCAGTGGTAAGGGACATAAAGATTGTTAATGAACATTCTTGTTCATTTTTGGTCCTTCCAGCCGGATATTTGAAATTTCCCCCACCAGTGGTAAGAGTTTCAAATATACCTAACAAAGAGACTTAAAGTCTAAGATTGAAGTTAATACAAACGTACCGAGGTTTTTAACATCGGAGTGAAGTTAATACAAGCGTACCAAGGCTTTTAACATCGGAGTGAAGTTAATACAAGCGTACCGAGGCTTTTAACATCGGAGTGAAGTTAATACAAGCGTACCGAGGCTTTTAACATCGGAGTGAAGTTAATACAAGCGTACCGAGGCTTTTAACATCGGAGTGAAGTCAATACAAGCGTACCGAGGCTTTTAACATCGGAGTGAAGTGAATGCAAACGTAGCATCGAAGTGAAACAAGCAGAAGCGTACCGAGGCGCTCAACAAATCAAATCAAATACTAACAGAGGACATCATGGAGATCGAAGAGATAGATCAAGTTATCCAACATCAAAAGGACATTGAAGGTGAGATCCAGAGGATCTGGATAAATTTTAAAAAGAATTCTTCTACAAGATATTCAAAGCAGTATTTTGAGACACGTTTGGAAAATTTGCGTCAGAAATGGGACGCATTTGAAGACAACAATGATAATCTGATCAAGAATTTGAAGCCTGATCACGAATATATCACAAAAAATTACTATGGCCAGTTACAACAAAGACGGAATGAAATCGAAAAGCGATTTAATAATGAATTGGAAATAATAAGGCAAATGGAGCAAAAGGAAGCTCAAGTATCAAGGCATCAAGTTATAAGAGGGCAAGAAGAAGCTCGGTCACTAAGGAATCAAGACATAAGTATCAATGACGAAGTCACCATCACCGGACCATGTGATATTACGAACAAACGTTTAGCAATCTTAAGTACAAGTCTGTTGCAGATCAAAGAGACAATAGACTTAACGAAAAGTATTGAAACGTTACAGTTCAAATTGGAAAAATTGAAGAATTGTTGGGCAAAGATCTCACAATTAAACGATGAATGTCTGTTTAACGATGATGAAATAGACCAAGGAGATTTCATTCAACTGGAATCGATATACGAAGAAGTATATATCCAGTTACAAGAAGAACTGAACGTTCGCAGTCAAAACGTTTCAGAAACTAGAACAACCGTAAGTAACAATATCAAACTACCACCGTTGAATGTACCAATATTCAACGGCAGATTTGAAGAGTGTTGTCCATTTTGGGAATTGTTCGATCGGTTAGTTCAACAAAACCATAATCTAGTGGATGTAGAAAGGATGCAGTACTTAAAAGGAAGTCTACGGGGAGAAGCCGCCAGACTTATCAATCATTTAACAATAACAGCGAACAATTATACAGCGGCAGTTGAACTACTGAAACAAAGATACAACAATCCAGCAATACTTGTGGACAATCTTATCAATAAGTTATTGTCGCTCAGAGCTATAAGAAATGAGAATGCACAGGATTTAAAAACAATAGTGGATTCTTCTAGTGAAGTGTTATATGGTATACGTAATTTAAATGTGGACACGTCAAGTTGGGATCCACTAATTATACAGATACTGCTTCCAAAATTAGATGGTGAAACCAGAAAATTATACCAACATTCAAGAGGGGCATCAACACAAATACCGAAATTGAGCAGCTTATACGAGTTTATCGAGAGCAGAGTTAGAGGATTGGAGGCAAGTCGTGACACAAATCGCGAAAATAAGAATAATTTTCGACCAACAGCAGTAAATACAAAAACGCATGTAAATACAATACATACGCTATGTTTAGTGTGTAATGGTGACCACCAATTAATTCGATGTTCAAAGTTTCTGAATATGAAGGTGCCGGAACGTCGTGAAAAGATTATGAGCGCCAAATTATGTTTTAATTGCCTTCAGAGTGGGCATTTTAGTAAGTTGTGCTTGAATAAAAAAAGATGTGCAATTTGCCACAAAAACACCATCAACTTATTCATGAACAAGTTAAGGGCAAACCAACAGTCACAAATAACATAAGTAAACAGAGGATGCCAACATTGAAGAACACCACAGAGACCGAAGTGGCAGCGTCGTACAACATCCAAAAGGAAAAAACTGTTTTACTAGCAACAGCAATGGTGATTATAAGGACTAAAAAACAAGTTAATCCGATACGAGCGCTTCTTGATCAAGGATCACAATCTTGTATAATAACAGAACAATTAGCAAGATCAATCAGAGCACCATTGACCAATTATCAAACTCATGTAAAAGGTATCAATGGACAAACAACAAGCGTTATAGCCAAATGTTCATTAGAAATTCAATCTATACACGATGAAAATAAGAGCTGTCATATCGAAGCAATAGTGTTACCAAAAATCACATCAAAAATGCCAAATGCAGAATTCACGCCAGGAAAATGGTCGCATATTGATGGATTGCAGTTAGCAGATCCTTGGTATGCTGAACCAAAGGAAATACAATTGTTAATCGGGTCGGACGTATTACCAGAAGTGTTTAAAGAAGGATTAATTAAAGGGCCAGACAACTCTCCAATGGCTCAAAACACACTATTTGGATGGATATTATCAGGACCTTTAGATGTAGAGCGTACAATCACAAACAAAATAATGTTATGCTCCATGGCTTGCGAAAGCAGCGACGAGTATTTAAAACGGTTTTGGGAATTAGAGGAAATCCCAAATGCAGACTTAAGAACAGTAGAAGAAAGGCGTTGTGAGCGACATTATGATTCAATTTGCACCCGCTTTAAACAGGACGATACATCGTTAGGTTACCACTGAAAAATGATCGAGAAACGTTAGGTGAATCCAGAAAGATGGCATTAAAACGGTTCTTTTCATTGGAAGAACGATTTAAGAAGAATCCAGCACTAAAGCAAGAGTATGTGAACTTTATGCAAGAGTATATCAAGCTGGGTCACATGAAAGAAGTAAATGAGAAACCAAAGACAAAGGTATATTATTTGCCGCATCATGCAGTTATTAAAGAAGACAGCACGACAACAAAACTTCGAATGGTGTTTGATGCGTCCGCGAAAACGACATCAGGACAATCACTGAACAGTATTATGATGACAGGTCCTACATTACAAAAGGATTTATTCATTCTATTATTGCAGTGGAGAATGTTTAAAATAGTTTTTAAGGCTGACATTGAAAAAATGTATCGGCAAATACTGATTCATCATGATGATAGAGATCTTCAACGAATTTTAAGGAGAAACGATCAGAAAAAACCAATAAAAGAATACAATTTGAACACGATTACATATGGTACTGCATCAGCACCATATCTTGCCATCAAGACGTTGTTTAAGCTAGCAGAAGACGAGAGAATTAATTATCCTTTGGCAAGTGAAACCTTAAATGAAAAATTTTATGTAGACGATTGTTTGGGAGGCGCTAATACGATTAAAGAGTGTAAACAAGTACAAGAAGAATTAATCCAATTATTGCGGAAGGGAGGTTTTAACTTAAGAAAATGGGCATCAAACGAACCGGAAATGTTGACGAATATCCAGATAAAAGACATTGAACCAGGGTTAGAGATGCAATTTAACAACGACCAAGCGATTAAAATTTTAGGAATAAAATGGTGTCCTAAATTGGATCAATTTGAATTCAAAATAAATACTACGTCATTCAGCTCAAAATACACAAAAAGAGCAATTCTAAGTGATGCTGGAAAACTATTCGATCCATTTGGTTGGTTGTCACCTGTAACCATTAAAGCAAAAATTATGATACAAAAATTGTGGATGCTAGGAATTGGTTGGGATACAGAGATCCCACCCAATCTACAGGCGCAATGGGAAGAATTTAAAATGAGATTACCTGCTGTTCAGAAAATAACCATGAAAAGATGGACACAACATTCAGAGAATAGTTTAATCGAGTTACATGGATTTGAAGATGCGTCAGAAGCAGGATATGCTGCAGTTGTATATACAAAGGTTATCAATGCAGAAAAGGTTACAATATCCCTAGTAGCATCAAAAACCAAAGTTGCGCCTATTAAGCAAGTATCATTAGCCCAATTGGAGTTATGCGCAGCTGTGCTATTGATAAAGTTGATTAATTACATTCAGAAGAATAACAAGATCAACTATAGTAAAATTATTGCATGGTCAGATTCAAAAATTGTATTAAATTGGCTAAGGTAATACCCAAATAGATGGACTACGTTTGTAGCAAACAGAGTATCGTATATTCAGGATACGTTTAAAGGGCAATTTAGATTTGTTCCAGGAAAAGATAATCCAGCAGATATTCCATCAATGGGAGTATATGGTGACAATCTTATTTCAAATACATTATGGTGGCATGGTCCAAATTGGCTAATAAAAGATGAAGGAAATTGGCCAGAAAATGATGAAGTAATTGATTTGAATCTTATTCCGGAAACCAGAAAAACTGCAATATGTACCGTCGTGGACATTACCAAAGATGATAATATTATTAATCGATTTTCTTCATTAAACAAACTTCTTCGAGTGACAGCTTATTGTCTTAGATTCGTTTATAATTATCATAAAAAGAAATCCGAAAGAAAGATCGACAATCTGTCGGCAGACGATATCGATGCAGCAGAAATTTTGTTGGTGAAGCAGGCACAAAAATGTTTTTCAGATGACATCAGACGGCTTAATCTTCAGAAACAATTAATGAAAAGTAATAAGTTGTGTTCATTAAACCCATTTGTTGACAGTGCAGGAGTACTAAGAGTGGGCAGCAGATTAAGAAATGCAGATTTATCTGACAACCAAAAGTATCCAATAATTTTACATACAACGAGTACTTTGGCCAAACTCATAATCAATCAGGCGCATATTAATACGATTCATGGAGGATTAAAACTGACGCTAAACTACGTTCGGGAAAAATTTTGGATTATTCGTGGAACAATCGCTATGAAAGCTTGCATCAATAAATGTTTAAAATGTTTTCGAATAAAGGCAAAAGGACAATCTCAATTAATGGGAAGTTTACCAACACCAAGAGTAAATTTCTCGAGGCCATTCACACACTGCGGCATAGACTATGCAGGGCCATTACACATTAAATGCTCGCAATTCAGGGGAATTAAAACACATAAGGCGTATATAGCTATTTTTGTATGTCTGGCAACAAAGGCAATTCACATTGAGTTAACTTCAGATCTGACATCTCAAGGATTTTTAGCAGCACTCAAACGATTGATAAGCAGACGTGGCTCAGTACATCATATTTATAGCGACAATGGTACCAATTTTACAGGTGCAAACAACATTTTACAGAAGATTCAAATAGAGAATCATCTAGCTGAAACAGGTATACGTTGGCATTTCATCCCTCCTGGCTCACCTCACTTTGGTGGTCTCTGGGAATCGGGAGTAAAATCCATTAAATATCATCTAGCTAGAATTATAGGTGACCAAAAATTGACATACGAGGAATTGAGTACGGTCTTAATTCAAATCGAATGTTGTCTTAATTCACGGCCACTCTGTCCATTAACAGACAACATTGAAGATCTTAATGCACTTACACCAGGACATTTCATTGTGGGATCGTCATTAATGACTCCAGCGCATGATAGTCTTATTAACTTTACAGAAACTAGCCTAAAAAGATGGAAGATTGTGCAGAAAATAAAGCAAGACTTTTGTAAACGGTGGTTCCAAGAATATATAAGAAATATTCAACAACAGAGATACAAATGGACAAAATCTATACCAAACTTAGAAGTTGGTCAACTAGTCCTATTGAAAGACGAAACATTAATATCATCGACGTGGCCTCTAGGCAGAGTTATAGAAGTTCATAAGGGAACAGATGGCTTAACCCGAGTTGCTACAATTAAAACCCAAAAGGGGATAGTAAAACGTACAATCCAAAAAATATGTCTTCTACCAATCACTGATAATGTAAAAGAAGGTCATATTCCGTCAAACCAGGAGAAGTTCCCAAAATTATTTAAAGAAGCAACATTAATCAAAGCAGAATCAGACACTCAAAATATGTTACCATTTGGAAACACTATTAGAAATAAAGAAGTAGTTTCGACAAAGTCTACTGCAGGAGATCCTAAAACGCGACGACAATGGTTATCGGCTAGGCAATCAAAATCGACAGTTCTTGCTATATTTTTGGCATATCTCACATTAGGAACTACATTAGCAACACCCACTATAA